CCTCTCCTATAATGATAAAATCCTTTCTAAAACATATTACCAAGCAACCACAAACAGTATATTTGTGACCTGCAGTAAAAGGGAATGCTGTCAATAGAGCACGCTTCTGCCAAAATCTTTTTTTTTACATCTTTGTGAGAAAGATCTTCAGTAGCCTGAGTTAATGACCATATAATTTTCACTGATCTCCATATACTCCTTTGAGTCATAAAGAAGAGGCTTACACTATCTTTCTTATCCATGAAAACACAACTTACTAAAGTCTGTGATAATAACAAATGTCACTAAACTCATTCTTTACTTTAACAGATATACTACTATTTTTGGTAGCTGAAACTGAAAAGAAAAAAAAAAAGGTAGTAATGCTTCACCGTGGAGCTACAGACCAGGAGCTATTTCTTGGCAGCAACATAAAAGTCTTAGACAAGAGTGCCCTGTTTTAGAGTAATCACCAGTGTGTCACTAACAGAGGACCTGTATATATCAGGGTGCTTATTTTCTTCTGCAAATAGTGGGTAAGTGAATCATCTCTAAAAAAATAAAGTATCATTAAATCTACTAAGAACAAAAAGTCCTTCAGCCACAGTGTTATTTATTATATTAGAAAACAAAGAGCAAATACTTTACTGAAAAAGGAAATTCACACACACACACACACACACACACACACACACACACACACACACACACACACTGTATTTTCTTGCAAAACTCTTGGGGAAAATGTGGTAACTGAACAACAATACAAACAACCCAAGTACAATAATAACAAAAAATGTACTTGTACAATTTGGTCCTTGCTCATCAGCATTTCAAAAAGTCAACTTCAAAAGGTTGAAATTAAAAATAAAAGCTTGTGAGAAACTATGAGAATATGCTTTGAGATGTGGGGACATACTGTGTTGGTTTTCATACTGCATGTGTTTTCCTGACAAGACCTGGGCATCTGGAGTTAGTGTGTTTGTTGTGATTTTTGCTATGTGTATTCAACCAAGCCAATCAATGTACATGTGAGCTATAGGCTGGATCACTTCTGGGAGACTGGAGGGTACAAACAAACAATCCAATTTAAGATAACTTCAGTCAAAATGCCCAGCATCCAGGAATGACAGTAAATGCTGGTGAGGCTGTGCGGGGAAAGGACCCTTGTATATTGCTGGTGTGAGTATAAACTACTTCAGCCTCTTTGAAAATCAATTTGTATAGTTCTAAAAAACTACAACTAGATCCACCACAGGAGATAAGCAAACATCTAAGGAGTGCTCAGCCCGAAATCGGCTATCTCCATCACACTCGTTGTCCCCTAAGACTCACCACCACCAAAAACTGGAAGGTAAGAAAACCACTGGGAAACATCTTCTGGATGCATGCTGGAGTTAACCATGAATTCAAAAACTCTGTTCGCCTACCCTACCTCAAGCCAGTCAAAGTTCCAACAAGGATTGGAAAGGGTCTCCTCTGCCCTAACAAGGTGCCATGGACAGTTTATAACCACAGGAGAAGGGAGAGTCAGTTTTCCTCAGTGGTCTAACCCCAAGTATGGAGACCATTCTCCAATGGAGGATTCCACACCCTATACCCTGCTTAATTCATTAGGTTATTAAAAAGAAAAGGGAGGGGGAGAGAAGGAAGAGGAGGAGATGAAGGTGGAGACTCCATTTTCTAACACATGGCAGGGATGGGGGAGTTGGAAGGATAGCTTTTTTTTTTCTTTATATAGAGGAACTTGCTCTATACACCAGGCTGACCTCAAATTCAGAGATCCATCGCCCTCTGCCTCCCGAGTTGGAATTAAAGATGTGCACTACCCCACATGGCTAGGACAGCTTTTGTTAATCCATGATAACTATTTTATACTTGGCAAGGAATTCTCTGCTGAAACATCTGCATTCAGATTTCTAGCTTGCTATTTGAAGGACAATGTAAGAGAGAGGATGACTGACAACTATAAAGCTGACAAGGGCTTTCCTCAGAGGGACTTTCTCCTAGCCAAAGGAAAAAGAGCAAAAGATTCATGTCTAGCCAAATGTCACTGCTACAGAAGCCTTCTATTATTCCTTTACTGCGCAGTAGCAGGATAACACCATTTGCTTCACACCATTAACTGCTGCATAATACAGGCTACCAGAGCAGGTTTATCACAGATGAGCACAGATTACCACCGAAGCTGCGGGGGGTAACCACAGAAGTCAGACCTCTTCTGGCTAGTGCAGCCCACAGTGACTCTAGACCTCCAGTGACTTATTCATTGGACCCTAGTTGGTGCTGACCCCCACTGTGGCTGTTTTACCTGATTGCTGCTGCTCCTGGTGTGCACAACCAATAGTTTGCAGTAGCCACGGCAGAGGCAATTCATAACCTGGATTTGGCACCCAAACCACAAAATATTCCATCGTACTACCATGGAGACCATGGCATACAAAAAGAAGTAGTTGAAATTAATAAGCCTTACAAAGGTCAGTCAATAAGCTGGATTGGGGGTGCTTTGAGAACCCGGGACCAAAACTGGAAGTGACACTGGGCCCACATGGGTGGCCCAGTTTTGGGAATCTGAAATACACTTTAACCCTAAGTCAATTTCCTTATGTAATTGAAACAACCATTTGGAGAAATTGCCTAGATCATCTATGACTCCCACCTTGCTAACAGCACCTGAACAGCCACATGAGACCTTTTCTTAGCTGTGAGCACTACTGGAAAAATGTGTCCACCGGCAATACAGGAGGCTGCCCCTCTCCTCGTCCCAATAATGGTATAAATAGAGATGATAGGGACTACTGCCTTGAACACTATGGCTCTAATGAGGGGAAAAGAGCCTACAACAGATAATTTATCAAATAGATAGACATCAGACACCTTCAATTACACTCCATGCCCAGATAGAGTCTTGACAAACAGTCAAGGCTTAAACTTCATTTTCATGCCCCAGGGAAGACTGTGTGATGCTAGGAAAAACTTGTTGCTTCTATGCTAACAAATCAAAAGTTATCATTAAAAAAAACTTTATAAAAAGTTTAAAATAACTTAGATCAAAAACATAAATTAAATAATTTCTGGTCCCATAAAACATCTGATTAAAACCCATGGCTCACAACTTTTCACTGCCTTAGGTGTTCCCTTACCCGTCCTTTTTATAAAACTTGCTATAGGGCCTTCTATAATAAATTGCCTTTTAAAGTTCATCAGACAAAAACTTCCCTCTGTTAGGCTAATGATCTTCAGGAACCAGTATTTACCCCTCAGCCAAGATAAAAAATTTAAAAATAATTTTTAAAAAATGGGGGAATGAAATGACTAAGGTAATGCCATCCTGTTCCTATTCCATTTTCTGTTTGCTTAGATAGTTCTCAGCCCTTTACCCCCTCCCCAAAATGGTCATGTCTGCCTTGGCAACAACACATGTGAGATTTCCATGGCCTTGACCATAGTCCAGATATATTAACTAAAATAACTGGAAAGTTATGTCTGAAATAACTACTATATTCTGCCAGAAATAACTGTTTCAAGGTTACTGTGACCCTCATCTAACCTTGATGTATCTCTGTGTGTTTTGCCTTTAAAAGCTCTGTACCCCTGAACTTGGACACCAAGAAACTTTTCAGAGTCACAAACCCACTGCTCTTGGTTTGGCCATCAAAAAAAGGACATAGAACTAATAACTTATCAGTATGGTTGTCAATAACTATCTTGTGTGGATCACTACAGTTGGTCAATGTCACTCCCTTACCAAAGGGAACAAGCATGTCCTACCTGTGGCCTACAGACCACATCCTACCCAATACAAAATTGTAAATGTATTAAAACATTATAAGTTTGGGGTATTTTTTTGTTTTTGTTTGATTTTGCTTTTTTTTTTTTTTTTTTTTTTTTTTTTTTTTTTTTTTTTTTTTGTAACTTGATTGTGATTCTCCAGAATAAACTTAGTAGATGACAGGTCGGTTGCATTATCAAAAGGTTGGTTGGACATGCCTGGTAGAAAGTAAATGAGAATGGGCAAGGGCATTTTAGGAATTGCAGAAAGAGCAGGTAAAAAGGGGCATGGAGAGATAAAGTAAGAAGTACAAAGGGGGGATTCCTGGGTAACAGGAAAGAAAGCTGGAAAGCAGAGGCTAGGTGAAGTGTTGTTATCTAGAAGTGTAACCTGACCCCTGAGAGCTGATAATGGAGAGCCTATAAAGGCTTTAAAGCAGAGGTACGAGTCTCATCTTGGTGTAAGTATTATAGCAGCACAGGAGAAAATGGATTCCATCAGAGGAATGGAGGGAGTGGAGTCCAGTTAGGAGAGAGGTCCGTAATTCAAGGGAAAGTATGAGGTCCCAAGCCGCAGAAATGCAGTAAGAATGGGAAATAACGAACCACATTAAGCCAACTTAAAATCAACATCGGTTGATTGAATTACTGACACTCTTACCTCCTTCAAGCCTAACAGGGTCATTATACACTTAAAACATACAGTGCATAAGTATTTGTAAACTAATGTTGAAACTCAAGAGTCAGCTGGCTCGCTTCCTCCACCCCATTCCTACATAAAAGCACCTTTTCTCATAAAACTCCAAAGAAACTTGTTATTCAACTGGGAGTAACAACACTGAGTATAAGTCCACGTCCAATACAGATTCTAGGAAGTCTCGTCTCTGTCTGTTTTGCCCCCAAATAATTTTTGAAGGAAGTCCTACGTTCGGGTCATGGAGCCCCACCCTGAGCACTAAAACAAATGCCAAGGATTATTTTTCTCTCGGTCGGAGCAGCCAGGTGCCCCGGCCTTTTCATCACCCAGCGGGTTACCGTGCTTAAGTCCGCCTTGGAACAAGCACTTAACTGCAGGGGATTAAGGAGACTGCAAATCTTAAAGATTCCGATTCTCACAGTCGTACCTCCAGGCCTCCACTTGCTGAGTGGCTCCCTCCAGGAGTTACCTTAGACAATCCCTTGTACAACTACTGGAATGTTGTGGGCTCAAAGCGAGTGGGGAGTGGAAAACTAAGTTTCTTTTCACTTACCCTAAAAGCCGCCATACCTATGACCCTCGGCTCCTTTTCGGACGGAGAGCGCAGAGGGACAAAGCAGTTCAATTTGACTTGCGTCACCACGGCCCCTCCCCTTTACGCTGGTAGCCCGCTGGCTCCTGCCCTTTCCCCGCCCTTCTGCAACTGCTTTGTCAGCTCTGCTGCCCAAGTTAACTAGTTATCAGTTCTCCAGAGAAAGGGGCTTACCCTTGTGATTGACACTCCAGTCCTCGATAGATGCAACGTCTCAGAATATTCTCCACACTCCAATTAGAAGTTTTTTTTCTTGGGTGCATGACTTTTTTTGTTTCTTTATGTGATTTGTCTAGGTAAGAACTTGAAACTTAAGTTCAACTGCCTTAATAAATAACTATATAGTCACAAGAGCAAGTCACCTTTGACATCCTTGGGGCAATTACATTCATTCTAAAACTGTCACTGAGCACCAATTCTGCCAGGCAGTTGTTCAGAGTACACTACAAAACCTAATGGCTTATCACAATCAGGAGAAAAGGACAAATATTAGAAAGGCCTAAATGCTATTCAAGAGAACAGAATACAGACTGGCAGGACAGTTCAGTGTGTAAAATGTACCTGCTGCCAAGCCCGATGACCCAAATTTGGCGCGCGCGCTCGCGCGCGCGCACACACACACACACACACAAACATACTAAATGTTTTAAAATGTTAAAAAAATGTTTTAAAAGGTTAAGAAAAAAAACCAGAAGGTGTCTGTTGAGGTGGAATGGCGTTTCCTGGTTCATTTAGATTGAAGATGGTGATAAGGTGATTTGAGAAAAGTCATGAGGAGTGTGGACAAGTGCAAAAGTACTATCAGTGAAAGGATTGGAGTGGTAAGTTCCACAGCAATGAAAAAACATACTGCAAAGGGGCTTTGTGTGTCACTATAACTGATCTGGGGGTTTTGTTTATTTGTTTTGTTTTTTATGTGCCTGTTTGTTTGCTGAAGAGAGAGAAAGCCTGTGGGATGGGGGGAGGTGGGGAGGATCTGGGAGGAGATGAGGGAGGAGACTATGATCAGAATATATTATATGAAAAATTTTAATCTAAAGAAAAGAAAACCAAAGATTTGGAAAGTAATTGAAGGGGTTTTAGCCACAGTGTAATGATCTAAAATACATTATAAAATGATGGTCATGAAGCTCTGAGGAAAATATGATGTGAGAAAGTATATTATTCTCTATCTGGGAACAAGGCTCCCTGAGGCCTCTGTGAATAATTAGGAGAAAAAAAGAGTGCTCATAATGTGCCCATTAACTTCTCAATATTAATTAAGTGCATTCACCCATTCATTCAACAACTATTTCTTAAGTGTAAACTATATACTTGGAATTAATGGTGTATTAAGCATATTTGATACTTGAAGCAGATTCTTTTTTAATGAGTATCCGATGAAATTATATTATTAAATAACGACTAAATAAACAAATAACAATGGTCATGATTAAAAGACTGAAATTTTTCTTTTAATATGTTTTAGCACTTAAAGTATAGCATACATATTTATAATACAATATCAATATGAAAATAAAATACAAAATAAAATAAATACTATAGCACAAACTATAAAATAAAAATAGATAATATTTAAAATTTTTCGTGAATTTATTTTTCTAATAAGAATAAAACTGTCTACATATTGGTCACCCACTATAGGACTAGCAAATATATCAGTTTCTGGTTTTAAGGTTTATCATTTATTTGCATATTTGTTAATTGCATTATCGGAATCTAGTATTTCTGAATTTTCTTTTTTTTTTTTAATGGTTTTATTCCTTAAAGACAAAAGCTTTTTGGTTTTAATACATAAGTGAGTTCCTTAGCAGACTCCTGTTCCACCTTCTGGCCAGGCCGCTCCAGGGACCTCAGGCCACAATCTCAGCCACCATAAGCCCTTCCAGTACCCAGCAGGCCTCTGGAACTCAGGAAGCTGGGATAAAGAGAAGGCACAGGAGTGGCTGCCCAGTCCCTCTGGGCACAGGGACAGACAAGGCCACTTCCATTGCTGCTGTCTGTCACTGGGCCAGGAGGAGGCTGGACCCAGCGTACACTGTCAGTTCACTGTGGGCACCTGGCTGTGGTGGAGGCTTGAACTCTTTGGCCTTGAGGCGCAGGCTGGCAATGCTGTTGGCCATGTTGACCCCGGGGGTCACAGGACTTGAACCTCCGGGGCTGTAGGGAGGCACAGAGCTGTAGCGGGATGATGCCAGCCAGCCAAGACATAATCTGGGCTCAGCGAGGTAGGTCGGGGGGGCCACGGGCTGCTCAATGGCGGCCTCCTGGCCATAGGACTTGAGCAGCGAAGCAGAGCGGGTAGCCAGCATGGCACGTTCATTCAGGCGAAACTTGGCACGGCGGTTCTGGAACCAGACCTGGACACGTGCCTTGCTGAGGTTGACACACCGGGCTAACTCCTCACGCACAAAGGTGTCAGGGTAGTTTGTGCGTTCAAACACTCTCTCCAGGGCCTGAAGCTGGCTGCTGTTGGACGTGGTTCGGTTCCGTCGCTGCTCCTTCTTTCGTTTGGTGGCATGGCCACGGCCCGGGCTGGGACAGTCACCTCACTCGAGCTCTAGGTCCCTTCTGAGATCTACATTCTCCAGAGACCTCCCTCAAGTGTCCCTGCTGGTGGTAGCCAGGCAGCTCCTTCACCCCAGGACCCAGCCTGGGCTTGACATGAGTGAGACACACAAGACAGGCAAGGAACAAGGGGCTATTTCTGAATTTTCAATGGGTAATTTAGGTTTTAGATTTTTAAATATGGCTCTTTGTTTATAGTTGATTGAAGTGCATTTGTCATTAATTTTAATATTAATAAAATTTCCTTCACAATTAGCAGTAAATATGCAAATAGGAAAATACTTAAAATCACAAACAAGCATGTACAGAATTGGAGAAATCTTATTTTCTCAAAACTCTGGGAATTATGATACAGTTCATGTCTCTGTTTCTTCAGAATTGATTATTAAGGTCTTAAAATTTTCCATAACTGATCATTTTCTATCAAAGTAACTTCTTCAGAAAATTAATCTTAAATGTCTATCACAGTTAGTTACAACTTTGGAAATTTTTCCTTTTTAAAAATGAGTAGCAATGTCTGAATGAAACACTGATATCATTGATGAACTGCTTAGTGTGAAAATGTCTCAAACACTCCAATACAATGTAATGTAATATAATGTACAGTGCTATGTAATCATCTTTTCATGTTTACCCTAGAACTTCATTTTCTTTTTTTATTTTAAAAAAATTTATTCATTTTACATGCCAACCACAAATCCCCCTCTCATTCCTACTCCTCCCCACATCCCTGCCTAACCCTCCCTCCTGACGCACCCCTACCCCCTCCTCCAAAAGGGTAAGTTCTCTCATGGGGGAACAGCAAGGCCTGGTACATTCAGTTGAGGCAGGACCAAGCCCCTCTCCACTTCCTCAAGAGTGAGCAAGGTATCTAAGCATAGGTAATGGGATCCAGAAATCCAGCTTATGCACCAGGGATAGATCCTGATCACACTGCTGGGGCCCCTCAAACAGACCCAGCTACACAACTGTCTCCCTTATGCAGAGAGTCTAGTCAGGCCCCATGCAGGTTCCACAGCTATTGGTCTGAAGTTTGTGAGTTCCTATGAGGTTGGTTCAGTTGTCTCAGTAGATTTTCCCATCATGATCATAACCCCCACTTGCTCATATAATCCCTCTTCCCTCTCTTTGACTGGAATCCCAGATTTCAGCCTGGTGCTTGGCTGTGGAACTCTGCATAATAAATGGGACCTCCTGAAAATGAGAAGCTTCTGTAAGGCAAAGGACATTGCTGTGGATGTCTTTCTGTATGCTGTGAATGTGTTGCTCTGATTGATTAATAAATAAAGTGTTGATTGGCCAGTAGCTAGGCAGGAAGTATAGGCAGGACAAAGAGAGAGGAGAATGCTGGGAACAGGAAGGCTGAGTCAGGAGACCCTGCCAGCCAATGCCATGAGAATCAAGATTTAAAGATACTAGTAAGCCATTTGGCAAGGTATAGATTTATAGAAATGGGTTAATTTAAGATGTAAAATCTAGCTAGCAAGAAGCCTGAGCCATTCGGCCATACAGTTTTAATTAATATAAGCCTCTGTGTGTTTAGCTGGATCTGAGCAGCAGTGGGACTGGTGGATGAGAGAGATTTGTCCTGACCACAGACTAGGCAGGACATAGGAAAACTTCAGCTACAGGACATGATCAATAAGATAAAACAACAGCTTACAGAATGGGAAAAGATCTTTACAAACTCCACATCTGACAGAGTGCTGATCTGCAAAATATATAAGGAACTCAAGAAACTAGACAGCAAACTATTAAACAAACCAATTAAGAAATGGGCTACAGAGCTAAACAGAGAATTTTCAACACAAGAATCCCAAATGGCCAAAAGACATTTAAGGAATTGCTCAACATCCTTAGTCATCAGGGAAATGAAAATCAAAACAACTCTGAGGTACCACCTTACACCTATCAGAATGGCTATGATCAAAATCACTGATGACAACTTATGTTGGAGAGGATTCGGAACAAAGGGAACATTCCTCCACTATTGACGGGAGTGCAAACTTGTACAGCCACTCTGGAAATCACTATGGCGACTTCTCAGAAAATTGGGAATCAATCTACTTCAAGACCCAATGATACCACTTTTGGGCATATACCCAAGGAATGCTCAATCATATCACAAGGGCACGTACTCAACTATGTTTATAGCAGCATTGTTCATAATAGCCAGAACCTGGAAACGACCTAGATGCCCCTCAACCAAAGAATGGATAAAGAAAATGTGGATCATATACACAATGGAGTACTACTCAGCTGTAAAAAAAACAATGACATCATGAAATTTGCAGGTAAATGGATGGAACTAGAAAATATCATCCTGAGTGAGGTAACCCAGACTCAGAAAGACAAACATGGTATGTACTCACTCATAAGTAGATACTAGATGTAAAGCAAAGGATAATCAGATTACAACCCACAGCTCTAGAGAAGCTAGGAAACAAGGAGGACCCTAAGAGGGACACATCAATT